TTTTTCCTTGTGTTGAAATGCATCATGGGTCTGGAGCACCTGGCAACAGTCCCCTGAACAAGCATTTGGGCTGGAGCAGGCAGCACACCACACTATTGTCAACTATTTATACTCCTGTTTATCTCCATTCAGCCCTGTAAATTGGGGTGTCTTTTACTATGACCCACAACAATAAATAATAATCAGGATCATTGAAATGACAAAAGATTTACTCTATAACCATGACATAAAATATACAACAGATTCATTTCTTTTCTTTTTTTTAAAATATATTTTTTATTGATTTTTTACAGAGAGGAAGGGAGAGAGATAGAGAGTTAGAAACATCGATGAGAGAGAAACATCGATCAGCTGCCTCCTGCACACTTCCTACAGGGGATGTGCCTGCAACCAAGGTACATGCCCTTGACCAGAATCGAACCTGGGACTCTTCAGTCCGCAGGCCGACACTCTATCCACTGAGCCAAACTGGTTAGGGCTAACAGATTGATTTCTTATAGTGTTTTATGGTTGTTTTCTGAACTTGAAGTGAAGAAAATTGAGAATTATTTGAAACCCTTTTATTCTAAGCAGCATAGCTGTTTCTAATTCTGTATCAAATGTCCCAACTCCTGTGCTATTCAGCACATAATTTCTCGATTGCTTTACATGTATACTAGGATTAATATTATTTGTCTCTTGGAAAAATAAAAGTTCTTCTGAAGTACTTAAAAAATTCAAAAAATGTCATGATCTTATGAATCTATATTTGAAGGACTTGTGGATTTATTTACATAGATTTGTTTGGAGATAAAATTATCAAAGTTAGAATAAAGTAATAATTTGTCTGTTTATAGTATCTTTGCCAAATCTCATTTAGATATATTTATATGCCCTTCAAAATTTGGATGATACAAGGTCAATATTGTTTTTATTATTATTGTACTAATAACAAGATGAATTATGAGGCAAATAGCAATGTTCTTGCCCTTTGTACCAAAAATGACACTAGTGAAACCTCATTAGAAGGACTTGTTCTTTTTAAATTATGAAATAGTTAAATATTGTTCTGAAACATTTGTAATAATACCTTGAATATTCTTTCTCACACATGCAGTCTTTTAAAAAATACTCCTTAATGGATCCCAAAAGGTTTTATAAATCATTCACTCATTCACTTTTTGAGAGACTACTATGTGTGAAGTATTGTACTAGTAATGAGGCAGTGGGAATATGGAGACATTTAAGACCAAAAGTTGGCCTTCAAGTGGCTTACAATCTCGGTGAGTAGACGGGGGTAGGAGCGCACAGACAGATGGCGTTTATTCACATATCTAAGAATTGAAGTGTGCACAGGGTCCCACAGAAGCAAGGAGAGATGGGTTCATTCCAGTTATTGTGAGGGATGTCTGGAGGGGCTTCTTAGAGGAGGTAACCTGTGAGCTGAGCCTGAAATCAAAAGTGTTCACCAGATGGGAGGAGGAGAATAGAGTTAGAGGACAAACATTCCGGCAGAGGTATTTCAGACAAAGTCCTGGAGGTGGGAAGGAGCCCTTTAGGATAGATAAAGGATGGTGCAAGGGAAAGTGGCTATAGGGGGAATGAGTTCATAGGGGTAGAGGCTGCTTGATGGGGTGCTGTGGGCATCAGTATCATGAACAGAGTTGCATTCAGCATTTGACAGGCATGCTAATCTATGAGCCATGATAAAATATCACTAAGGATGTAAAGATGAAGGTCATTTTATTTATTCTGACCTCCCTCTGGAAACAAAGGGGATGTGGGTGGAAGAAATTCTTGGATTCATCCCCTAGAGTCTGGAGGATCCTCACAGGGCTTTGGGGAAAGGGGTGAACTGGTTAATGTTAGAGCCTTTGCTCCCTAAGTCACCTGCTGTTCCCATTCTCCTCCATCTTCCTCTGCCACAATGCTCACCCTCTCCACCAACTCAGAGTCAAATACACCAAGTACTCAGGGAGCTTGCGGTTTGCAGAGGAGCAGTGGGTTTTGTTACTCTCACTGCATCTGACTGCGCCTTGCTCTTAAGGTAAGTGACTGTGCTTGCTGTCTGGTGTGCCACAGGCAAAGCATGCCTGCACCATAATTTTCCCTGGGCATCAAGGTGACTTAAGCTTTGAGTTTTTCCTCTGTCTGTTGAACTAACAATTACATGAGAAGAGCTTAATTTACATGCATCTTCCCTGCATTTCTTTGAGTACTATATTCAGTGGGTAGTTGCCAAGTAACTGAAAATGTGTCTAGACACAGATGTTTCTATATTCAACCACAGGGTCCATTTTCTGAGCTACAGAGTTAAATGCATGCCAGCTCTGTGACAGAATTCTGCACAGAATAAGAAAGATAAAATGTTAAGATCTAAGGAAGGGGCTATTCAACATCACTAGCTATAGGGACTTAGTTCACCAACAGAAACCATCTGTGCCTTCCTGAAAATAAATCTCCAATTAATAAGGAAAACTTTGGAAAGGAAAAGGTTAACAACAGGCCTGCAATCTGTTTTCCCTCTTTACCTGGGAAATGAAAGCAGTGCCTCTGTCAAATCCCCTGGCGTACATGCTAATAATCAGACCTCCTGGTAAAAACACTAATGGTATTTTTAAGTAAAAAGATAATAGAGAGCTCTTATCTGTGACATGCTTTCAGCAGCCATTCCAGTTTTCTGTTGCTGCACAAGAAACCACCCCCAAATTGAGTGACTCTAAACAATAATTTAGTATTATCTTGTACTTTTCAGTAGGTTGATGTGGCTCAGGTAGGTGATTTTTGCTTGGAGACTCTTGGGGTCTAAGAGGGAGTGTTCTAACAGACCCAGGCCTGTCTAGACCCTGGAGTCTCAGAATGTCACTTGTGATGCAGTCTGTTGGACAGGGGCAACCCGGACTCAAAGGGAGGGAAACAGACCCCACCTCTTACTAGAGCAATGCAGTGGTCACTGCAAAAGAGCAAGTGGGTTAGTAGACATCAGTCAGGCCTTCTTTAAATATGCTCTCTGACATAGCAGGAGATGGCTGCTTTGTCCAGGTTGCCTATTGTGAATAAACCTGGTATTTATGGGTTGGTGGAAGCGTGACTGGAAACAGTTACTTAAACTGGGAAATCAATGGGGGTTAATAGCTTTGCATGCATTGTTTAAATCTCTCATCATAACTATTTTGTATTTTAGATAGACATTCTTAGAAGAGATAAGTGATCATATTTTTAAAAAGTAAACTATACAAAATAGGAGAAAATACTTATTTTATGCTGGCAGTAGAAAAGAAAATCATGCCCAGGAAAACTTGAGAATCAACAAAAATCACCACAGAAGACATTTCATTAGTTACCCCACCTTTAAAGCTCCTGTCATGGTGACATGCTAATTCCAGATGGGACGATCACAGGAGCATATATAATTCAATGGCTCCCTGCTGCTTGTCTCTGTTTTATTGAACAAGATACGTAAGCCCATGTACAAAGTTATTCCTGTCCTTCTCCCTGTGATGGCATGACATGAAAATCCCAGGGTAGGCTCAGAGGGCAGCGGAAGGAGATAAGGTTGAGGTAGGAAAGAAGATCTATAAAAAGGAAAGAAATTCTGTAACTTTTTGAACTATGCATCCAAGCACAGGTGAAAAAAAGACTTTCTGTGAGAACTAATACCACGATAGAATTCTCCATGGGACTGTAGTTAGAAATGCTTCCTATTTTCCCAGCTGAACTGAAATTCCTCAGAGCAAACTTGCCACAAGGTGGATTGTAGAGTGAACCACTTTGAGTTCTCCTTTGGCTTTTGGATACTGAGGCTTAAGTTCTAATTTTTTTTTTATCAACTGTAATATCATGCAAAATTTACTTGTTGCAAGTTTTATTAAACAGCTTAGAGATAATCAAATGATCGTTGTGAATGTATTGGGGAGAGGGATAACATTATGTATTAAAAAGAAAGATAACATCTTAGTGAAGGAGTTACTGAGAACTTGGGTGTCCAGAATGGTGGTAGGTCTTACTCATATTTGTAAATGTTAAAAATACTCACAAAACAGTATGCATCTGTGGAGCCTTTGAAAATAACAATAAAAACATCTTTAAGTTGTCCCTTCAATCCAAGGATAACCTGGGTGGGTAGAGTTGCATGCCCTGCATTGAGTTCTAGCGGAAAAGACTCTACCCTCTGTTACGCTTGACTACATGGTGTGGATTCAGCGTGAGCAGGTTTTACTGCGGTGGGGTTGATGGTATAATTTTCCAAAGTGCACAGAAGGATAAAAGAAATCCTATCTCAATTTATTTTTCCAACTCAACCAGTCATAGTACAAGTTGTAGATCTTTTAAAAGATGTTTTCTGTCATGCCCTGCTTGCCTCAGCCTTCCTGTGCCTCCAGCATCACCACGGAGATCCAGTCTGCTTATAATATACCTTTGTCTTTATTTCAAATACATCTTTTTTACACCCTCCCTCTCCCCAAACCTAACTCCTTTTGTAAGTCCTGCTTTCAACATGTTGCTCCTTATTTATTGGTTCATTCCAACCCTTAGGGGACTCCAGCAATCTTTCTTGAAAACTTTCTTTTAGCTCTTTTTGCTTCATTTTTGGTCTTCTGTGTACTCACTGTGATTCTGCTAGGACTGTATTACTAATCTCAACCTGGAAGGGCATTCTCCTAGTACAGATAACAACTTATAGTGTCCGGTTATTAGTATGTCCGTCATTCTTCCCACTCAAAGATTTGACAGTGATGCCTAAATAAACTTCTAATTTTTCCAGCCAAACAATATTAAATGCCTCCAACACAGCATTTCTGCCTCAAATATATGCTTTCCTGAAAAGCTCACTGCTTACTTGCTTTGCAATTAAAATGCTATAATATTTCTACAATTTTTCCACATGTTAGTTTCAAAAGGAGTCCATGATTAACAATTATCTTAATACTTCTTGATTTCACAAGTAGATTATGTAGAATTCTTCATTTCCTAATATTAATATGGTTTTCCTCCACAATTTCTTATTGATTTTCTTTTTCCTTTGCAGAAGGAGATTGGAAGGTGACTGTTGTCACTGGGGATCTTGAAAATGCGGGCACCACGGCAACAGTATCCCTTTATGTTTATGGAGAAGCAAGATGTTCAGGTCCAATTATTTTAGGCTCTGGGAAACACCAGCTGTTTAACCCAACAGTGCAGATATGTTCAAGGTAAAATTGATATACTGTCACCTGCTTGTGAAGATATCTTCTGATCTACAGTCCCTAAGATGAAATAGAGAATTGTGTATGTTTTGCATTTACATGACATTTTTTTGGAATACATGATTTTTTTTTATCCTAATGGAGTTGGAAAACAGGAGTAATAATAGAAATAGAAGGTTTTGTTTGTTCCCCACTTTTTATTTGCATAAAGGCAACACAGTATATGAACTTTAGAAAATTTAAAACTTATTATGGAAAAATGTATTTCTAGTCCACCATCAGGTCAAATATTTCCATTTTGACTATCTTTTCTCATCCTTTTCATGTCCATGGAGTATGATGCTGTGATGGAAAGGTGGTGAGCCTCATGGCCAAGACAGGGTCGAAGGAGTCAGATGGCCAACATTTGACTGGCCAAGATTTAGCACTTACCAGCATGGCTACTTGTACAAGTTACTTAATTGCTATGTGCCTCAATAACTCTTACCTCAGAGGGTTATCATGAGGACTAAATGAATCAATCCATGTAAAGTGTTTAGTGTAGTGCCTAAAATGCTCAGTGAGTGATTGCTATGATTATTATAGTACGTAAACATTTTTTATTCCCTTATTAGAAAAGGAGATACATAGTCTACCTAATTATAAATTATATTAAATAAATGTTGCGTATATGAAGTTTACCATATCATTTGCTATTGATGGCTTTCACGATTTCTGATGAGAAGTCAGCTGTTAATATTTTTGAAAATCCCTTATATGTGATGAATTGTTTTCTTTTGCCACTTTCAAAATTATCTTCTTGTTTTTGGCTTTCAATAGTTAGACTATGTAGACTGTCTTCCTGCTGTTTTTCTCAGCTGCCATAGTTGCAGTGTTGTTGTTTTTTAGGATATTGTGGAGCTTGAGAGAGAGAAATGGAAATAGACCAAGTTATAATGCACTAACCCTTCTGTTCTTACTAAGGTTCATAGCTTTCATTGAATAAATGCTCCTCAGATTGTTGCTACCCTTTGATTAACTTCCAGAATTTTTGAAAATTTGATTTAAAAAGATTTGCCATTGTTCTATGGAGGATTGGATCAATGAAAGGCCTCAATATGCCATTCTAGCAGTCTTTCTCTACCTGTTTTTATCTTTATTTTGTTCTATTTTACTGAAATTTCTATTACTCTATAAAATCTTCTAATTCTAGCTGTGATTTCAATAATTTTCTGAAGATAAGTAAGAACTGGCCCAATGTAAATGTGACTTTGGGCCTACAATATATCATGTGACCAAATCCATGGAATTTAAGAGCCACCAGGCAAGAGGAGTTGAAACATTGACTATCCCATTACTGTCAGAACAGTGAAAAATTTCCTTTTGTATAACTGGTTCATGTTACATGTGGCAATGTGAGGCAACTCTAATGTTTCCCTAACCCAATCATAAGCCTTGAAGGGGAACTTGAGTGTAGCATGCTATAGGAGGAATCTAGTTTCAAAAAAGGAATTGCAAAGTGATGGAAGACCTTATATTAATTTTGGTAGCTACCCTCCATAGACTATAGGGTCAACCCTATAGGAGCACCTGAAATGTTACTTAGATTTAGATGGAAGGAAATGAGACATCCTCAGAAAAATGACCAACCCAAAAATCAGAACAAAGAAAATGTGAAGATAGTCAGCGGGGATTTCCTAGACTGCAGGAGCTAGATCTCATTCATTCCCTAAATCTTGAATTCTTTTTTTCTTGATGTTGACATGATTACAGATGTCCCCTATTTCCCTCCCTTTTACCCCCTCTATGCAGGTCCTCCCTCCCCTCTCTCTGGCCCTAACCACATTTTTGTCTGTGTCCATGGGATATGCATATATGCTCTTTGGCTATTCTGTTCACCTTTGTTAATCTTATCCATTGACTAGCATAGACTAGATACTCATGAATATCTGTTGAAAGCATGAAAGTTTAATGGAAGTGACTTTGCTGGAATGTGTTTAATATTTGTTACTTTCACCTGAGGCATTCATTGTTGAATTTTCCTGTGATCATTCTCACCTTGAGGGCATAATAAAGGCATCCCATGTATCTTGTATGGTTATTATTTACTTATAAATCTTTCCAGAGATTTCGCTGAGCTTTTTATTGCATTTTTGTAAATCAAAACATTAAATAGTATTCTCTGTTGCTTGGAAAAAGTTAATGGCTAAGCCATTCACTCTTAGAAAATAGTTTTCTGTTTCTGGTTCAGTACTATATAAAGTCAATTAATTTTGTAGATAGATAGGTTTAATATTATGAGCTCATAGGGCACTTTCACAATTATTTGAATATCCCTTATGTTCCTAGAATAAAATGTA